ATGCCACAGTATTTCGGCCCCTGAGAGGTCCCAGACATAATTGGGGATCATCTGGATAGACCTTCCTACGTGATTCGCATCCCACCTCATCTCCGCACACACCCATTTTTTCACGTCCCTAAGTTGGCACCTTTTGCAGAGACTGCACAGTTTCCCTCCAGACGGTCAATGCTGCCCCCAACCATGGATGGTGAAGTTGACATCGACGAGATTGTGGAACATCGGGTGATGCCAGTGCCTAAACCTCCGGCAGAGGCCGTCCTTCAAAACCAAGGATGCAGTATCGTGTCAGATTCAGACACCATACTGATCCTAGTGAAGACTGGTGGTTTACCAGAGAAGAGCTACCTCGAACAGCACCCCAAGTCATTGCAGGCTACGAAAGAACACTCAAGGGGAAGATGCCTGCACAATAGAAGACTTCTCAGAGGACTATCAAAGTAAAGGAGGAGGGAATGTGAGGATTTGGCTCCTCGGCAGGCCTAAAGGTCCCCCTGATACAAATGTGCCCGCCCTAAGTGAAGGCAGGCCTAATAAATCACGAGAGGTCCAAGGCTGTCAATTTCGTATTTGGGGTACAGGCAGTTGTGTCGCGCCAGTTGGTTGAGGGAACCTCGGCCTCGAGCAGCAAAGATTTTCCACGGGCTTCTAGGCCTTGCTGAAATGTAGGCCTTGGGCAGGATTCGCAGCAACATACACAGACAGTTGGGAGGCCTAACTGAACGAGGCCCAACAACTGCAGCAGAGGCCCAGCCACCTGGGGCCTATCGGAAGCTTCTGGGCATTGGCCCAGCCCAGCCAGGTCGCAGGGCAGGCAGACTCTTTCCATATAGGAAAGAGCTCCCTGCCTAGACGGTCATTCGGGCACTTGCAAGCTAGTGGCAACGCTGCTAGAGCGGAGTCTCGCGGGCTGCTGCTTGCGCTAAGGCAAGGTGCTGTGCACGTGCGGTCGTGTATGAAGCAGGGCGCTGCTGAGGGCAGCGCCATAGCCCAGCCTCCATAGTTGGTTGGAGCTTGGTTGTACATCAAGGCGCAGGGTTGTTTTCGGGTGTACAGAGGGACAACGTGGGTGGAAAACGAGGAAGAAGGCAGGATGATGATGACGATGATGATGTGAGGGCACATACCACGTATTGGCGATGGTCTGCATTGGGCGACATCATTAAGTACTTCGTTGGTTGCTGACGTCAACAGTTGCATTGTCAATTAGTAGGCAGATAGTAGCTGTGTAGGGAGTAGGTTGGGTGTCAAGCGCCAAGTAAGAGAAGGGGCCTGGATACTGTTGTTGGTTGTGGCGAGAGCAAGCTCTCATTGACATCCGGTTTTCGGTGTTGCGATTCTCCATTGGTGTTTAGATTGGTGCGATGCTGCTTTCTAAACACTATAATACTTTTTGGCTTTCCATGTGATTGTGCAATCTGGATTTTGTCATCTCGCTATTGCTCATTTCAATCATGAAATTATTCATTCAATTAAATAACATTGCAGGGCTACTAAAACACCAAATACAAAAACTACCCATACTAATGATAAAGGCAAGAAGACTTTCTAGCCAAGTTTCATTAATTGATCATAAAATATCGTGGAAATGTTGCACAAACCCAAATATATACAAACAGAAAGCCTTCGGCCTTTATATACCCATATCCCCTGCTTGGAAGGCAGACAATTTACCTTTAATCTATATCCGCTATTTACATATTGAATTGATTGACTCAGGCTCTTCTCGGTGAACGTAAAGTCTCCCTATCTTCACTCAAAGACTAAGAGGGAACCGTCTACTAAGTAAGATGTGATTTATTTTATAGTAGATAGGAGAAAAACCGTCCCGGATGGAACTACGAAGTAAGTAGAATAGAGAATCGTATGATAGGTGACTATCTCGTATGGTTCGGAGAGGACTCGAGTACCGCTGGCATGTTTTGCTCAGTCGGGAAGTTTCACTCCATTGAATATGTTTGATAATTAACTTCTAAATGAGATGTTTTTTTTTTCTCGGTTATATCTTATATTTTGTTTGATGGTTGACTTGCAATTTTGTAGGAATTATGCCCATAAGATTACAAATAACAAAAAAGTAAAAGTGACAAAGATGAAAGGGAAAAATCGTTGGGCACGCCAATGGAGCAAGTATGTGGGCGACCGTTAGATTACCTGAAGTTAATTACGAAAGGCTCTAACAAGAAGAAAGAGCCTGTGCAATCGATTTTCCACTCTGGACATTCAGCTTATTGCGAATTTGATTGGACAAGAGCACGCTAATTTTGTCTGTTTTCGCAAAGAAAAGCACTCCTTCTCCGGAAGTTACGGAGTCGTTTTGCCGAGTTCCTTCAACATGGTTATCTCAAGGAAATTTCGGAGAAATGGTAAAATATGGGTGAGAGTTTTTTTAGATATTCCTAGTACCAGCAAACCTACAGAAGTAAGGATGGGAAAAGGAAAAGGAAACCCACTGGTGCACTTTTATCCGATTTATTCGATTCGCTTAAACAACCACTCCCCGACGTAAAAAAATTGGCTTTCCGGGACCATCGGAGGCTGGTAGCCCGGAAGAAATGGAGGTCGGCGACAATTCAAGCGGAGGTTGGCCTAAAAAAAAAAAAAAAACCGCAAACTTTGACGGTTTTCGTACTCAGAAGAAAAAACCAAAAAAACTGGGTCGTGATCTATTCGGGAAAAATATTTAAAAAATGAAATAAAATATTTTAGACAGTGAAATACTCGCCGCGCCGATTCTGTGCATTTTTTGTTCTTGCCACTCTGCCACCTGCGGGCCAACGGAAAAGTACTCCTTCTTGCTACTCTGCCACCTGTGGGCCACTCTACCGGTTCTCCACACTATGGTACCAGTAGCCCTTCATTAACTTGGGCTACCGGTCCCCCAATTTTTTTGTGGCGGGGGGAGTGGTTGCTTAAAGCGGGATACAAAACCAATGTCGGCAAAGTGCATATTCCCGGAACTCCACAAGCTCTTATGAGCCTGTGCTTCACACCTCTATTATGTGAGGTTGTTCTTCACAAACTTGAGAAATTTATCTCTTACGAGCCAAATTTGACACGGAAACTCCCCTTCGAAGACGCAGCGGCGAGGCGATCGTAAGAGCTTCCACTCTTCAAACGACAAAACATGGCAACCGGCGAACCCTAAAGCCTGTGCTTCACACCTCTATTATGTAAGGTTGTTCTTCACGAACTTGAGAAATTTATCTCTTACGAACCAAATTCGACACGGAAACTCCCCTTCAAAGACGCAGCAGCGAGGCGATCGTAAGAGCTTCCACTCTTCAAACGACAAAACATGGCAACCAGCGAACCCTGTGGAAGACTTCATCAGATCCTATGGATACCAACCCAGACAATCTTTACTTGCAATGGGTTTAAATTGGAAAGATTTAGAAAAGACGATTTCTCGGCCATCAATAGAAGTGATGGCCGAGAAATCGACTTTTCTAAATCTTTCCAATTTAAACCCATTGCAAGTAATAAAAGTAAAATGGGTATTTTACGTTTTTTGCTTAGACGTACCCAGATACGTCTTTTATTATCCATTTCTAATTTTAATCTTCCTCCCCATTCAGAAATAAATGTACAACTATATGTTATATTTGCTTGTGCATCAAGTTCTGATCCATAATAGAGTCCTGGACTACGTAGAATATGGTTAACTATAACTCTACAAGCTCCATTAATAATAAAATTCCTTAATGTGAACATTAGATTTTGAGTTTTAATCGATATTTGTGGAGTTGATTATCCTTCTCGAAAAGATAGATTTGAAGTGGTGTATAACTTATTGAGAATTCAGTATAACTCACGTCTTTGTGTACACACACGTGTAGATGAAATAACTCTCATCTTTTCAGTAGTCAAAATATTTCCGGTGGCTGGTTGGTGGGAATGAGAAGTATGGGATAAGTGTGGTGTGTAAACCAATTTCACCAAGTTAGTTGCCTGAAAGGAGTGTAAGTATGTCCACCTCACTTCGTGCCAATTTGGCATGTGGTTTACCCGCTTAATCACAAAATCCACATCTACTCAGGTTTTTTATTATTTCAGAGAGGTGCTTCAATTGTAACATTGTTTTTTCCAAGACTGATAAGTGAACACCTTGCTTTCATGAAAAGACTTGCTGTTACCATAGTAGCTGCATGAATCAGAGCTGATACTGTGGTAGGGCCCTCCATAGCATCCGGTAACCAAGTATGGAGTCCTAATTGTGCGGATTTTCGTACAGCTCCAATAAAGAGTAAAACATAGAGTAAATCAGCAGGCTCACTAGAAGAAGCGTCTCTATCAATCCTTAGAGGCCATACGCCAGACGCACGAAAACTACCAATTGTGATGATATGGTCCAACCCTCATAGTGACACGAGGAACAAGAGCACGCATTGTGTTCGCCAATCGCATGGCATTGAGAAAAGTAACTAGGGATTTGCGCTTCTCATCCAAGAGGACGGGGAAAAAAAGGAAAAAAAAAAGACCTGGTACCGCTACCCAGTTGACCTGAGGGACGTCTCAGATGACTCTTGACCCTAGGCAGCGGCTTTTGACACCAGAATATGGACACAAACCTAAAGACACCACCCTAGCCCCTATCCTTTGGTCTTTTTGACTCATTTTTCCTGGCACATAGATGGTAGAGAGAGCATTGCTTTGGTTTGGGAGTGTCAAAGATTGCGGGCAACTGCCAGTGAACCCCTGCCGTGGAAGCCATCCTTGAGCGCTAGGCTCAACCTGTGCTGTTATGGTGAGGTTTCCTAGCCCCAAGGTATGTTGTGCTTTATTTTTAACCCGATGGTGCAAGGTGAGCCAACATGATGCTCATTCCAGCCAGGCAAGCTTTGAAAATCCGAAAACTTGTGCGGGCTGCCTACATGCTTGACCCACACAACACAAGATCTAGAGGGAGGGAAGCTCATTCTTATTCCAGGCACCTTACCCACCCCAGAAGAAAAGGAAAGAACGACAAAATGAGGAAGGGAACAGGAGGTTATTCTTACTCGAGGCCCCTTGCTACATCCAGGATTACTTGCAATCTCGTTTTCCATGTCAATTCACCCACCTTCCCTTCCGCATCTCCACCTGCCACCAAAAGCAGAACGATTCTGTTAGTGCATGCATATTATCAAGCCATCAACAACTGAAGACCTATTCCAAGTCTGATTCCAGAATCGCAGATAGAATACAACAACAAACAGAGTGCAAAGGTTCCCTCTTCTGTGAAGTTGACCAAGAAGCACCCACAGTTGCATTACGACAGACAAGTTGTACTGAAAGGGCCTCCCTGACACCTCCACCTACTTAACACACATCCACCGTCCAAACAAAACGTGTATTGACACAGGAATCCAGAGCTCGCCAAAGGCCATGAATCCCTCATGTGACACCAGAGCACTGCTGCCCACACAGGTTGTTTCCCTGTGTCACCCCAGCCAAAACAAGGCAGAATAGGCCATATGGGTACAACCTATGGGATTACACTCATACCAAAAGAACTCTGTGAGTGTGCTCGCAAGAGTTTCTTAACGCACAGCCAATGACAGACTCACACCAGACAGAACAATCAAGTAATCCAATCCTAGCAAAATCATGAATTGCCACACAACAACACGAATCCACAGCTTGCCTGAGCCCATGATTCCTTCACCCCCACCCCAACTAAACCACTGCCCAAACCACCCTTGTCACCTCTATCCATGCGCTCAAAAAGTGGGTACAGCCTGTGGGCAAATTGTCTGAGTCTGTCCATTGAGAGAGTCCCACTGATGAGCAGCCTTCTGAGTCTGAAGGTAGCATCTTTAGCCATAATTTCTGATATCAAGTGTCGCACCCCGAATGGTTTTGAGAGTATTAAACCACTAGTACATCCGGGCCTGTGTTGTACAAGCCGTATTCCCCCTGCACACCGAGCTTTGCTGAAATGCCAACCCAGCATTTTCGTTTTTGTTTTGGCTGGCACCGCCAGCCATTTTGGTCCGGTTGCCCCGTGCCTCTGCTCACTCGTGATTCTCAAACTGGTTGGGGCCATGTACTGGTGGTTTACAAACCACTATTTCTTCTGACTGCAGATTTTGTGATTCATGCAATATCTGATAAACCAGGGTTGCCAGGCCGAACGTACGGAGGCCCCTAAGCTGACCCCCGAATGTTTGGGCGTTCGGGTCACCGTACGGGGCCCAAACCAGAAGGGGTTCGGACCCCGCAAAAAAAATATTTTGGTACCTAAATATTATTGTTTTTTTCTGAATTTGTTTTTGTGAGTTATTTCTAATGTAAGCTACCTGCCTCTTAATTTTGAAGGCATTCTGTGAAGCCAAAAAATAATGAAAATCGGCAAAGATGGGGGTGTCAAAACTTCCTTGCCCATTCACTAATTTGTTTTTTTTCTCTTTTCACTTTTTGTTTTCCCTTTGTTTCGGGGCATGAAAAAAATATTATTTTTTCAAACCTTATTTGTAGGTTCTCTATTATGTAAGATACACATATATCAATTTTCATGACATTTGGCAGAGCCAAAAAAATTTGAAAAATCACCAAAGATGGCGGTGTCAAAAACGTGCTCGCCCACTCAATAATTTCATTCTCGTTTTATTTTTTTCTTATTTTCATTAATTATTACTTATTTTTCGTATTTAATTTTTATTTCAAATTTGGTAAAGAATTTAGATGTAACGTTGAGGCACTTGTTGTTTAGTTTATTTTTCTGCATAACATTCTTTTATTATTTTTTTTGTGGGCTTGCGTTCGGCCGAACGGCCGAACGCGTCGAGAGGGGGTCCCGAATGTTCGGGCGTTCGGGTTCGGGTGTTCGGCTCGTCCCGAACGCCGACAACCCTGAGATAAACAATATACACAAAAAAAATTGAAAGAAGTGTGAGGGTCTGAGCGCTCAGCATGCGCAAATGGGGCCGCTACTTCAAGCCTTCAAGCCCTGTGCCCATCCTAAGTGAAGGCGGGCTCTGTATCTCCATGAGGCCCGCATGTTTTAAATTTGCAGGCGTAAGTCTTTCGCCAACCAAAATGTCCCTCTGTATCGTGGGTTTCTCCCAGGATGATACTCTTAGTCTCTTCGCTAGAGGGAATGCACTTGTTTTGCCCATGGTTGTGAGGAAAAGCAATCCATCAGTTATCCTATATTTTGGCCACTCATGCGGTTTCACCTTTACCTTAGCTATCACCCTTCTATAAATGGGATCTACTGAATAAGACTCTAATCTTCTGGTGCAAGTCCTTGCCTGTATCTAGATAAGAAGTAATTGCTCCAAAGAAATTTGCTCTCCTATACAACACATCAACGACAACATTGTACTTCCGTTTTACTGGTTTCAACTCAAAGTCAAACTGATCAATAATTCTAGCCCATCTTTGCAATTTAGTGGAGACATACGGGATTGGGCTTGCAACCAGCGTACGGTTTCATGATCTGAGTACACTTTAAAATGCCCCCCCTAGTAGATGATGTCACCAAGCCTGTAGGGCCGCATAAAGAGCATACAGTTCTCTCTCATAGGTAGAGTTTGCTACTTTATCTGAAGGCAATCCCTTCGACAGAAACTCTACCGGTCTCCCACAACCAAATAACTTCTTTCCTTAGCAATCTCCGAAGTGGTGTGGCTATAGAGGTCAATTTTTTTTAGCAAACTTCCTATAATAATTAGCCAGTCCTGGGAATGAGTGTAGCTCAATGATGTTCGTAGGCGTCTGCCAATCTCTAATGGTTGCAATCTTAGTGTCATCAGGTTGACTACATCTCCATCTATGACATGACCGAGATATAAAACTCGTCTTTTCGCCCATTCACACTTCTTTGGATTAACCTTAAACTTACTCTCTCACAACATTGTCAAGACTTTGCATAAATGCTCTTCATGCTCCTCTAGAGTCTTACTAAAAACTACGATATCAAATAAATAGACAACTATGAATCTTTCGAGCCAGTCTCTAAACATGTCATTCATACAACGTTCGAAAGTTGTTGGTGCATTTGTCAGACCGAAAGGCATGACATTAAACTCGTAGTGGCCGCATATGGTCTTGAAGATTGTCTTGGGCTTATCTTCAGGAGCCACTTCGATTTGATGGTATCCGGATTTCAAATCTATCTTGGAAAAATAATTGCACCCTTATAACCTATCCAACAATTCATTTACGAGGGGTAATGTTCTGCATTCTTGCCCCGCACGTTCACGAACCCATTCAACTGCGTCTCGTCTTCATCGTTATAGCATTTAAGCCCCTATAGTCTATGCATAGTCTCGACTTTCATTCCTTCTTAGGAACAAATAATACGGATGAGCTGTAAGGAGGTAGACTTGGCTTAACCCACCCCTTGTCCACCACCTATTGGATATGCTTCCTGAGCTCCTGTAGCTCGTTTTGTGACATCTTATAAATGGGCCCTCTGGGAATCTTGCTACTTGGCTCTATTTCAGTACGATGCTTCATTGGCCATTCTACAATTCTCTTGGGTTCCTCCTACATATCTGCGAACTCCGCTAGGAGCTTCTTAACTTGGGGTTGTACTACGTCTACCTCCTCCGTAGACTCTCGTTTGTCTGCCTATTCTTCTTTAGCAGGCGTTACATATGCTACAAAAACTCGGTTTACCAACGTGTTCTTTACTGTACACCTAGTGAATGCAAAACATAGACAAGAAGGATTTCAAATCAGAACGATGAGATTGAAGGACTGTCCTAGCTGGGAAACCAGCACTCGACTTCACCCATCTTTATGTTTGCCTTCGCCGCCATTCCCCAATCCATGCCTGAAACCATATTGAAGGGTAGGTCCTCCTCCACTAGAAGGGCCAAAGAGTGCCTCTCAACTTTCGCTTCACCCTCCAACCAGAAGTATGCCTTGAACCTCTCAAGGTATCGACCCACACTGCTGTTAGCCATTCTTGAGACTATCGGCTCATCCAAGTCTTGCACTTCCATTCATAAGTGCAACTTCTTCACTGCTCTACAGGAAATGAAGCTTCTAGTGGCTCATTTATCAATCAATGCACCTATTATTATCCTAATAACTTCCACATCTGCAATACTAACTGATCTCGTGTTTTCTTTTTAGTAGCCCAGACTTCACGAAGAGTGATGAGTTCCTCGGATTCTGGTGCTAAATCCATTTTCTCTTTGCTTGTAGGACCTAGTTTCCACGTTAGATTCCGCTCGCATCCAACTCTTTTCCCGTAGCCTGAATCAGCCTCAAAGTTTGAGCCAGGTAAAGTCCTAACGGTTTCAAGGAAAAAAGAAATCTAGAAAAAAAGGAAAACATTTATTTTTATTTTAAACAAAGGAAAATAAAAATTAAAGGTAACTAAATCTAGTTTTTTAGCCTTAGTTCTCCATCTATCACGCCAGGGCCTGAAAACGGAAAAAAACGAACCTTCCCAACTCCAACCATCCCTTTTCCTTTAGGTTGCGGGTTCAAGTCCTGGCCACCTCGAGCCTTATTGAAATTATAGCTCCTTATTGCAAAAGAGGGAGCTAGCGCAGTAGTAGTACAACCTCATTTTCTAGACCTGCAGCATGTTAGACAAGGCACTTACCTATTGAGCTAGCTCCTGAGTTGAGTACAAAGCAGCTAGCTCAATATATAAAATTAGCTAGAGTGCAATTTTATGCCCTATAGGACTGCTAGCCTAGTTCCCCTTTTTGGTTCTAGATCAAAAATAAATTGTATCAAAAAATGACACGGCGCAACCCTCCTTTCAACCTGCTCTACCTGTCGTCTCACTTAGGGAATGCACATTCGAAAGTTGTGGTAGCATGCAAGCCATTTATTTTTCCCTGGCCGCCTCGATCTTGTGGTAGGGGCCTATATCAACTTTTTAGATTATTTTTGGGTGTGCGGCGGGAAAAAGCACCTAGCCTTTTCACATTTTTCTCGCATTTGTCATTCACTCATTTAATTTTGTGGTTGTGTCCTATGACCATTCTAGCGTCGAAGGGCATTTGAGTATGTCGACATTTAAAAAAAAAACACATGAGTGCACACATTGCCTGACCCGTCGGATCGGAAGTGAACAACCCCAACCAAGGGGGTGCTTATTGTTATATTAAATTGGCATACATTCGTGCTGA